CGTGTTTTTTATAATAATTACTAATCTATATCGATATTGTTTTGTACCATGATCATACAGTGAGTAACAAACCAAATTATGTTCTAAAATATAGTTTTCCCCGCCAAGTGGCAGGCTCAAAACAAGTTTTTTATATTTTTTATATTAAGAATGATGCTTTATCTCTTAAAAAAAATAGTTCTTTCCCGGCCAAGAGGCTGCCTCGAAGCTAGTTTTCATAATTTTGTGCCTAATTTTTACAATAAGAACGATGCTTCAATTAATGTGGGCCCCAGGAAAAAATGATTACCTTAATTTTCTGTGTCTCCGGGTCGTCCGCTCGACAAGATCCGAAGAACATCTCAGGGTGCCGATCCAAAACACCGTTCCTCCGACAAAACGGGAGCCAGTGCGCGGCGAACTTCGCGGCCTCCATAAAGGCAAAAATCGTCAATTGGGACCCACCATCGTCTGACACGTAGACAGAAAGCTTCTCCGGCGGGTAGTCGTACGCCAAGACGGAGAGCGCGGCGTTGGCCGTCGCTATCGGCGGCTCCTTGAACGGGTCGGCCGTGCAGATGAACACGTCCATCGCCGGGAAATCCGCCGGCGGGGACACTTTCTCGACGTTCTCGACGAATTCGCGGCGGATGAGGGGGCGGTAGCGGAAGGACTGGTTGGTGAGCCAGATGAGGGCGAAGATGAAGTCGGCGAGGATGAGGAGGAGGGTGGGGACGACGGCGGCGGCGGAGGGGCCGGAGGAGAGGTGGCGGAGGAGGGTGTGGATGTGGTGGTAGAAGAGGGCGGCGACGGCGGAGAAGTAGATCGGGGCGAACAGGCGGTTGAAGTAGGCGCGGCGGACGACTCTGTAGGTGTTGAGCGGAGGGACGGCGGCGGCGGAGGCGACGTTGTTTATCGCCATGGTTGTGGGAAAGGGCGGGGACGGAGGAAAGGTTGTGGAAAGTTTGAGCGAATGGGTGGAGTTGTTTGTTTACTATTTTTTTATTTTATATATAAGAAGAGTAAAGTTCGCTGGTGTGGTGAAACGTGTGGCCACGTGATTGGGTGGGAAATAAATACGTGCGTAAATTAAATTTTGAAATTGAAGGGTTCTGAAAGCTTATGTTATGTGAGCGTCTCTAATTTGCTGTACAAAATACAAAGAATATGAACTTCTGATCTAGGGGTGGAGGTTTTATTTCCATGGAGAATTAAGAACTGAAGAATCTATACGAGGAAAGAAATGTTGGCAAATCAGAATACGCGCCCACAAATCATTGGCGCCATGTGTATGTGTCTGCGAGAACTGGGAATCGAGTTAGTTAATTAAGATTAAGGCATCCATGAACTGGGGGACAGTAATGATGCCCAACTTCATCATATTGGTAAATTGTTGGTCACGTGATAAACAAAGGCTAATGGAAAATAAATGCTTATTATTTTTAATAAATTACATTTTGTTAAGTTATAATTAATTGAAATTTTCTCCTTCTCACCGGTACGAAATAAAAATAAAAGTTCAATACTAAATCGGGGAAAAAATACTATCATTTCTTAAAAATCAATATCAATCCGGCACGAACCAGTTTCTTAAACCCGGACCAAAAAATCAAACGAACTAGTTGTGAATGAGCGGTGGTTGTGGTGCTTGTATTAGGAATTATTAAACTTCATCGGATTAATTATATACGTTAGTGAGTACATGTCCAGTACTTGTGTAATTATACCCGAATGTACTTGTGTAATTATACCCGAATGTAGTCAAAATGTCCAACACGAATAAAATTTGTCTAGCTAAGCGCGGGGAATAATGGACATTATATAGAGAATTAAGGGAGCGGAAAACAATGATAATATGAGTAGAGCCATGTCCGTGGAGATTGACCAAAGAAAACATCAAACAACAACGTTGGTAGTAAAATCACCAATAAGGCAATAACTAAAATGGCAGCATCAAAGCATTGTTGGAGATTGGACTTTGCTTGGATGTGGGTGAGGACGATGGAAAGCATTAAGTGGACGGCCGCCTAATGAATTACGGAGTCGTGAATTGAGCTGTAGTCCAATGTTTTTGTAAGGATTTCTTGTGTTATTTTACAATATAAATAGGATTTTCATAAAAAAAAAAACTTTAACAGTAACATAAATATCTCGTTTTATATATGTATCAGAATATGCAAAATTTAGATTGTATAGTGTTTTCCCGGCGAGAAAAATAAAGGAAAGAGAATTGGATTTTTGCACCTTTGACTTCCAAACAAACGATCAAACAACACAGTTCACACCTCTTTGAACAAAGTTCAAACAAGGGTGTTCAATGTTTAGATGAACTACGAGGCAAATCTACATTAAATTAGCCCTACTCCTATGGAGGTTCAGTGAGAGCTCCGAAACTACAACTATGGCTATGACTACATTTGCAGAGGAAAAGGTAAAGATAAAAGGATAAAATTTGACAATAGGTTGTCTGGTGTGATTTTGGCGAACCTTTTCTCCGTCATCTTCACCTCCTATTTATAGCCACCAGAAGTAACTGCCTCAAGAAACTGCTCTGCTGACGTGGAGTGGCGGTTACCCTCTCAATTGCTTCGACGGTTACCCTGACGTTGGATGTGCCACCTTCTTCAGTCCTGATCCCCTCCTCTTGAGATCTCACTCCCTGCTCTTGGTATCTCCTCCATAGCTTCGCTTATCTATACAGCAAAAATGGCTAAGGCATGGCAGAATACCATGTGCAACATATGGGTGGGTATTTGAATCACGTGAATTAAAAATGGCAAAAATACTTCACCGTTAGGAGAGTAAAGAGACCATGTGCCCACATGACCCCCTTGCCCCCCTTTGCCATATCATGGGGCGTGTGTTGTGACTCCCTCCCCATACCATTGAGGGCATCATCATTCTCCATACTTAGCCATATTTCACTCAATGAAATTGTACCCCATAGGTTTCATACGGATCACTCTCACCACTCTATCATCCTTACGGGAGCCAGCATTGGTGACCCCTACCCCCTGATCATACCATGGGGGTGGTATGTTGGTGGTCCCCATATCACCTCATGGGGGTGCTCCTCGCCACCCACATCATCTTCCATACTTAACCACATTTTACATCTTCTCATCTCACCAGGGCTATGGGGGAGGTGGTATGGTACCCACCCCCCTCGGTACCCCTCTTGAGGGTGGCGACATGATGGTCACCCCCCTCGGCATGTCTTGGGGGTGGTGGCATGGTCCCCACTCCCCTTACCACCTCATGGGGGGTGGTATGATGGTGGTCACCCCCCTTGGTACCTCCTGGGGGTGGCTACCATACTCCTTGCCTTAGCCAAATTCGGCCATCACCCCCCTCACCATGTCATGGGGTGGCGGTATGATGTCCACTCCTTTGCCACGTCCTGGGGGTGGTGGTATGATGTCCACCCCCCTCTGCGTGTCATGGGGGTGGCTCCCATACTTAGTCAAATTTGGGGATGCATGGCGCGCGTGGTGGCACAGAGTAATGGGCCCAAAAACCCAATCCTCATGGCCCACTCAACTGATTTAAACTGATATGATTAAGTTGGCCTTATAAAGCCATTTAATTTCTTGTTTTTAACCGATGTGGTACAAGGTTAATTTTTATGGGTAAACATATAGCCACTAGCCCTATGAAAAATTCTAAACATGTACCACCTTCAAGGTTGTCAAACCAATTTAAAACATCCCGCCAATTTTGAAAGTGGTATGATCCAACGTGGTACAATCGGATTATATGCCGGTTTGAACAAACAAGTGAAGAAAGTGGTAAACCATTTAAACCAAATGTATTGTGCATATTTAAGATAATCCCCATATAATCAACATTATATTTAATACTGCATTAAAAACAAATGACATATTTAAATGCAACATTTAACATTATGTGTTATACTTGAATTTATAAAAAAATAACTTAAATGATCATATTTAAGTCCACAAAATCCCTTCTTTTGTTAGTTAGGGGTTGTTTGATTTTAGTGATAGTTAAATTGATGCTTGCATAATAATATACATGTATACATGAAAATTAATGTATTGTAGTTTACATCGTTTGGTTTATGTGATAGTTCTTGAAGTATTTAACTAAGTTATATTACTTTTTGGGTGAAATATCACTTTTATCCTTTGTTTTTAATATGAAAAAGCAACGTATATAAAAAGGTAGGGACATAGTTGGAACAAAAATATCATCGACAATCTCAACAATCTCATCCAAAACTTGAGATTTAACTATCACTCATTTTGAGTGATAGTTTATGTCACATCAAGAAAATAATGCATGTATTATTTGTATAGAAAATTCAAAAAAAGAGGTATTGTAACCATCACAAAAACCAAACGTTAATTTTAGCAAAACAACGACATTTTGTTTAGAGGCCAAAATTAATCTTTTGAGTCGGACCATTGATCTTTTCAATGTTAACAGTTTTTATCGATTTTGACCACCATTTCATACATGTGATCTTCCGATCGGTTTTTGTCCAATATCGGTTGAACCTGATTGTCCGACCAGCATACCAGTGATTTGAGGATCATGATTCATGACACTTGAGCCAGGCTAGGAAGTCGTATAGGGGCGTGCAAAGGTTTTGGTTCGGTCCAAACCCGACCAAACTCATGAGAACCACAATCAATTAGTGAAAGACAAGGACTGAACCAAGGATCGGACCATTATTGTGTTTGGTTCATTTGGTATGGTTCAGTCTAGTCCAAATATCAATTCGGTCCATCATTTCTACAGTAATTGTAAAATTCATGTGGACCAAAACCAGACCACATTATACTCGGTTCGATGGGACCGGACCATTGCACACCCTAGGCCTACTTGCCCTTATAGTTGGCGCGAACCCGAACGTTTGGGCCTTTTCATGAGCCCAATGCAAGAGATCCCGTTGCTCTGTTCCAGACATGCTCGTTGGCACTTTAACAGTTTTTCTGGGCCCATTCAGAGTGTCTACCCTATACACCGACAAATCCCAGGCCAGGATTTTCCTTCCTCGGCTACTCGGCTGCGTTCAACTTGCCAGTTTCACTCTTACAATTTCAGCTGCTGCTGCGTTTCTTCTTCTTCTGCTGCTGTGGCCATGACGGAAGTGGCGAGCTCACTGGTGCACGAATTGCTAGGCAAGCGATTCGAGGACGTGGATCAGCCTATCGTCGACTACATCGTGAACGTCCTCGCCGATGAGGACTTCGATTTCGGCGAGGAAGGCGAGGGCATCTTCGAAGCCCTCGGCGAGCTCCTCGTCGGCGCCGAGTGCGTCTCTGATTTCCCCGAGTGCCGCCTGGTATATTATTAGTCTATCTCTACTTTCATCCGTGGTTTCTCCTGCTTCTTGCTGAGAAACCCGTTTAGCTTTGCTTCAAATTGAATTGGTGCAAATTGGATTTGATTGATTCACGGATATTAGGGATTGAGAATTCATTTCACTTGAGCTGAATTGAGAAGAAATAGAGAAAGAATGAATGATGAGAGAAATCGAAACGATCTATTATTTGTTGCTGTGGCTTGAAGCTGGGAAATAGATGGTGTTGGTGCTAATTGTGGTTCTGCAATTGGGATAGGTCTGTAGCAAGCTGTGTGAGAAGCTTGGGAAACATGGGTTGGCAAAGCCGAAACCGGCTGTGCGGAGTCTGACAACACCTTTCAGAATGAATGAAGGAATGGAGGAGGAAGCTGCTCCCAAGAAGAAGCCAGAGCCAGTAGACGGTCCTTTGCTGACTGAACGTGACAAACTAAAGATAGAAAGGAAAAAGAGAAAGGACGAGCGGCAGCGGGAGGTGAAAAGATTCTAAAAAAATTTCGTTGATGTTTGTTTCTTTAGTTGGTTTTCTGCTCCATACTTAACTTTCATTTGCATGGAACGATAGACGTTGTTGAGGTACATTTGCTGAGTTGATGCAACTATTATGGTCTTGTGGGTGTCTTCTGTCTGAAATTTGCTGTTTATGCAGGCACAATATCTAGTGCATGTTTCTGAAATGGAAGCAGTAAGAGCAGGGATGCCTCGTGTGAGTGTGAATCATGACAATAGTGGTGGAGCTACTGTCAAGGATCTTCACATGGATAACTTCAATATTTCTGTTGGTGGTCGTGACCTGATTGTTGATGGTTCACTGACACTCTCCTTCGGAAGGCACTACGGTGGGTTTCGCTTCTTATTTCCATGACCATAGTTAGAATTGTACTAAAGCTTGGAAGATGAATGATGGATGAAATACAGCAATAGAATGAAGGATTTGAAACTTGTAAAGCCATTTTGCCTTAGTCTTGTTCTACTGACTAGTTACAAACATACTATGCATACAGGTCTTGTAGGAAGAAATGGTACGGGAAAAACCACTTACTTGAGGCACATGGCCATGCACGCCATTGATGGTATCCCTGCAAATTGCCAAGTTCTGCATGTTGAGCAAGAAGTAGTCGGGGATGATACAACAGCTTTGCAATGTGTGCTGAACTCGGATATTGAGAGAACCCAGCTTATGGAAGAAGAAGTTCGCTTAATTGCACAGCAGGTTAGATAGGATTTTGAAAAACAATGATTTAAAGGTTCTTTTCATTTATTGTGTTGCTGTTAATCTTTTTATTACTATCCTGAAGAGAGAATTAGAGGTCGAGGATGCACTTGGAAACGAGAAAGATCAGAATGGGGCTGCTGAGAAAGATGCTATTTCAGATAGGCTTGCACAAATATACAAAAGGCTCGAGTTTATTGATGCTTATTCTGCTGAAGCACGCGCTGCTTCCATTCTTGCGGTCAGTTGCCTCTCTACTAATGATGCATTGATTAACATAGAGGCAAGACTGAATTTTGCACAGATTGTACAAATTGCTTGTATAGTGACAAACACAAACTTACAATCAGGTGGCAAGAAAGATTAATTAAGTATGAATGTCATAGAAACAATGTGTTTTTGTGTATGGACAACTAAATACGGCTATAATAACAAATTTTACTGCTGTAGTACTAGGCCCTTGGTTTTATGGCTCTGTAGTGTTGTCTGCTCATCAAGCCAGATAGTATAATCCATTGCATTATTCTTATGCCCCATAAAAATCTTCAGGGACTCAGTTTCACACCAGAGATGCAACGCAAGGCAACAAAAGCATTTTCAGGAGGATGGAGAATGAGAATTGCTCTTGCTCGTGCCTTGTTTATAGAGCCTGACCTATTGCTGCTCGATGAACCCACGGTGCAGTATACTCTTCGTATTGTGTATGGAACTCTCTTCAAATGTATGCTATGTGGTTTATAAGTCCATTTGGTGCAGAATCATCTTGATCTCCATGCTGTCCTATGGTTGGAAACATACCTGGTGAAATGGCCGAAGACATTTATAGTTGTCTCTCATGCGAGAGAATTCCTGAACACGGTACTACTTGATTTGCTGCTCAGTAAGTTTGAGAATTATTAATCACTGTAACCATACGTAACCTCTTTCTAACTTTCTTTTTCTCCTCACCCGGGTTTAGGTTGTTACCGATGTTATTCACTTGCAAAATCAGAAACTCACCTGCTACAAAGGTAATTATGATATTTTCGAAAGGACACGAGCTGAACAACTTAAGAACCAGCAAAAAGCATTTGAGTCAAATGAACGAGTGAGAGCCCATATGCAGGTATTTGGCAATGCACTTGGATAAGTGGTGGTGCTGAAGTATTCCTTTAATTCCATGGTTGCTTGAATTTAAACTATCTTCATTAACTAGCTGACAGGAATGCTTGAATGTAAAGCTTTGCTCTGTTTGCTGGTTCCATTGTTCATGAATCTTTATAGACTATTTAGGCTGGGTGAAAGCACTACTATAGCAATCCTTTGAACTCCTTTGTATTTTTGGTCGGTTCCAATGTGCTTAATTTATTCTTTATTATGCAGACCTTTATTGACAAGTTCCGGTATAATGCAAAGAGAGCATCACTTGTCCAATCAAGAATCAAGGTGCTGCCATTCTTTCCGTCTGCATGAGCAATAAATGAACTGTTAATCCCGGCAACATATTGATTTATTACTCTTCCAGGCACTAGATCGGATAGGTCATGTAGATGAAGTTGTTAATGATCCTGAGTATGTATAACAATCCTTTGGTGTTTTACTGTTTCGTTTGCTTTATTTATTGGATATATTTCTGCCCTTGACTGATTTCGATATTGGTTTGCTGTCTTATTTTTCGTATAGCTATAAGTTTGAGTTTCCTACTCCTGATGATAGACCAGGACCGCCTATAATAAGTTTCAGGTTGGTTTCTGCATGTTCAGTTTGTGATAATTTATTTGCGCCTAAAGGAAAGTAATTTGCAATATGTCTAAAGCTCACTCGATATTATGAATGTTCATGTGAACGCAGTGATGCATCCTTTGGTTATCCAGGGGGACCTATACTATTTAAGAACTTGAACTTCGGTATTGATTTGGATAGCCGTGTTGCAAGTAAGGAACTTTACTCTCTGCGAGTTACTATGCCGACTTTGTGCTTATGGTGTCTGTTCCGATTTATGTTTCATGCATGACTATAAATTATGTTAAACTATGAGCGTACAACTTGATGGAAAGTTGATTTCTGATATGTGCATGGATATATCGATAACTAATATGTGATTGATTGTTTGACCTCGTCTATCCAGTGGTTGGGGCCAATGGGATTGGAAAATCAACAATACTCAAACTTATATCTGGTGAGCTACAACCCAGCTCTGGTACTGTCTTCCATTCAGCAAAGGTACGAGGTCATTGGGACATGGCACAGTTTTGTTCTGTAGGGCAGTAGTTTGCTTTCTTCGTACCAAGTTACTCTTGTTAGGCAGTTTCCTCCTTCCATGATGACGCCTGTATTAAGTAATCTGGAGCCTGCTTGATTATGCATTTGTATGTGCGAATGAACAGTGTAAAGCTCTTGTCTTCAGGTTCGCATTGCTGTGTTTAGTCAGCATCATGTTGATGGACTGGATCTATCTTCCAATCCCCTTTTGTATATGATGCGCTGCTTCCCTGTAAGTATTTAGGAAGATATTTGAAATTATCCTCATTTTTGTGATCCCTTACTGGTTTTGATGCGATGTTAACAGGAACTCCCGATTGTGAAGAATCTGAGTTTTAGTTGTATTTCTCTTCTCAAGAGTTGTAATTGGTATCTGGTCTTGCAGGGAGTACCTGAACAAAAGTTAAGATCTCACTTGGGTTCTTTCGGAGTGACCGGAAATCTTGCTCTTCAACCCATGTACACATTGTCTGGTATGTCCTGTTCCTGATTGTATGGGTCAATCTAGCCGTTGGACTTAGGTTCAACGATGTTATGGCAGTTCCCAAACTGGGTTGTACATAAACAGATGGATATGCGATATGAATGCCATCAATTTACTTTTATCACAGATCCATTTTTGCCTACTTGTTTATCTGGCTTTCTTTTCGGTACTGTGTATCATCATAGGTGGTCAAAAAAGCAGGGTTGCATTCGCAAAGATAACTTTCAAGAAACCACATCTGATATTGCTTGATGAACCATCTAATCATCTTGTAAGTTGATGTCTACCTTTTAGTTCCCCCCCTTCCCATACATATAGAATCCGTTGTCCCTTTGTTCACTCTCTTTCGCCGTTGGACAATGTAGGATCTGGATGCAGTGGAGGCATTAATCCAAGGACTGGTTCTGTTTCAAGGAGGCATCGTTATGGTACTTACTACTATAGCTCTCCTAAATGCTGTCGCACCAGTTCCCTTTTCCTCGTATTGCTTTCCACTTATTCATTGAAACACGGGATTCGACTGACCATGTTGCGTAACAATCACTTGCAGGTTAGTCACGACGAGCATCTGATCTCTGGAAGCGTGGACGAATTGTGGGTCGTATCGGATGGGAGGATAGCGCCTTTCCACGGGACCTTCCAGGATTACAAGAAACTCCTCCACGCTTCTTAAAACTATCTTTTGGTTGGATCGCAACAGATTACGTTGCCTGGGGAAGTATTGGAAGTTAGCCAATCTAGTAGCTGTTTTCCCTTCTGGCCTGTTGATGGAAGGATGGAGTCGCTCAGTAATGCGATTTTGAGCTGTTATTTACCGTGTTTTTACGAGTACCGGGGAAACAAATTTACCGTGTTTTTACGAGTACCGGGGAAACAATTTGGTTTTCAAGCTGGTTTTCTCGTTCTACACAGCATAGGGCTGGGCTATATGTTTAAGTTTTGTTGAATATAACCCGGCAGTGTACTTGGCTTGTTCCTTTTGCTAATAGGGGTGGGCAATCGGTTCGGTAAATTCGAATCAAATCAAACTGAATTAAACCGTATCGAAACCGAATTAATGTTATTCGGTTCGGAATTCGGAAGGAAAATATGGATAGTTCGAAAATTAAGGTTCTTTAACCGAATCGAATTTCTGACAGAAATACTATAATTGCAAGCTGGGTAAATGACACATTTGGTCACTGAGATTATTAAATTGTGTCATGTTTAGTCACTAGAAAAAATTAATATCAATTTTGGTCACTCGAATTACCGAAATTGGTCAAATTTAGTCACTCTCCCGTCAGTTTCCGTCCAACTCCATTAATGTAGTTGGAGGGAAACTTTTGGGAGAGTGACTAAATGTGACATGTTTCAGTAATCCGAGTGACTAAATGTGACATTTTTCAATAATTCGAGTGACCGGAGTTGGACAGAGGCTACAGAAGAGTGACCAAATGTGACCTGTGTCAGTAATTCGAATGACCAAAATTGATATTAAATTTTTTAAGTGACTAAATATGACACGATTTAGTAATCTCAGTGACCAAATGTGTCATTTACCCATTGCAAGCTCCAAATGGTGGATTTTTATGTTTGTAGTTGTTTTTAGACTTAAATATTTGAAATGTTTTATGACTTATGTGTGAAAAGTTTGATTTTATCATTGATGATGCATATAATTGCATATTTATTGTTTATATTAGGGGTAAAAAATAATTTAAAAGTGAGAAGATACAAGTAGCTTAACAAATTCGGCTGTGTGAAAAACTGAACCGAATCGAATTATAATTTGGTTTAAATCGATCGAACCAAATTATAATTCGGTTTGAATCGATAGAACAAAATTATAGTTTGATTTGAGAGAATTCGGGAACCCGGTATTCATAATTTCGATCGATCGAAACCGAATCGACAGATTGCCCACCCCTACTTTTGCATAAAATCACTCAACTCGATTGCAGCCATTACCCCATTTATATATATCTAGTTTAATGCACAGTCCCACATAGTCATGAGCTATGTTTTCAAAATGTTATATTTCCCAAAAAAGTTAGCTATATTTATGATTTAGTGGTTAATCGTTATAAAATTATTTATAACTTGTTAATTGTTGATAGAATAGATCACATATATAAAACATTGAAGACATATATTACACTAATTTATGATAAAACCTATCACTAGCCATCAATAATTTAAAATCCATATCATAAATAGCAAGAAGTTCTAACAAGTTATGTAAACGGTCTCACAAAAGAAATAATAAAAAATATGTTATATTCAAGTTGGTAATTAGAAGTGGTAATTGGCCGTGGATCACATGAAGTTGATGAAGTTGATAAGGAGGTTGAGATAATCAAGTTGATGAAGTTGATCGAAACGCTCTATCAACTTCAATTTGGATGATTAAGTTGCTCAGAGGATCCGTGATAAATTACTCGATCTGCCACGGGGCAGGTTTGGGTATCAAGAAATCCGCCTCGAACCTGCCCCATTGTCATTCCTGCATCCAACTAGTACTTTGGATGGTATTCATGATATCCAATGGTCACCATCCAATCAGTCATTTGGATGGTGTCCATGATATTTGGGATGGTACCATTCACCATAGGGTTGGGATGGTAACCGTGGTGTGGGATGGTCACCATCCACTTAGAGTTTGGATGGTGTCCACTATTTAGAGTTTGGATGGTGTCCACTATGTGGGGATGGTCACTATCCAATTAGTCATTTGGATGGTATCCTTGATCTTGGATGGTACCATCCATCGTAGGGTTTGGATGGTATCCATTTTGTTGGACACTATCATTCATAATAGGATTTGAATGGTAACCTTCATGTTGGAAATACCACCATCCATAGGATTTGGATGATATCCATAATGTTGGACAGTACCATCCATAATAGGGTTTAGATTGGTATCCATTATGACGGATGGATGGTAACAATTTTGTAGTTGGTACAATCACCATCTTGGATGACTACCTTACGACAAGCTACTACCCGACAGACAGATGGCTCAACCATCCAATTCGGACCACCGGGTCCATATACGGGCCAACTACTTAAGGTGTCCCAATTATTCATAATACTACATGTGATATTTAATAAATTTATTTTGGTGTAAACAAATGCCCCCCACAACTTAGTTCATAAGAAATTATGAACTAAGTTGTTGACATCAACTGCTTTAGGTACCAAACCACACAAATCACCCAGTGGCTTGCACGACACCCCATCACATAAGGAGTCCCCTTCCTTCATGGCCAAGTCACACATGACATTAATTTATGTCACTTCCAATTCATACTCGGCCACATACACCAATTTTTTATTCGTCTATGAGAAAGCCTAGCAAATTAATTAATCCCTAGATAGCCAGGCCACATTTTAGTAATACTTTCTCCTCTTCTTAACCCATATTCTATTAACAAAAAGAAACTCACTACTATAAGGACACAACTATTTTTTTTCCTCTTTAAATTTGATGCTCTCATTCATCAACTGGGATGATGTCTTTCTACTTGATTCACACCATTCAAAAACCAACTTAGATGGCTTGTTCACTACTTTATTTATTTAATTGATTATTTTATTTATATTTTATGACGAGCTGGTAAGTATCACCACTCGCCATAGCCCTTAGCAGTAACTAAGAATCCAAAGGCACACACCCATTGCCAACTCCATACATCAGGTGGCTTCCTCCTCTCAAAGGAGATGTACATACTAGAGTGGCATACTCCATCTTAATGTTAGGTTGCAATTTCCCAACATGTTTTCTTACACCCTTGCTTGTGGCCTCTTGATTATCTACTCGAGTTACGTCAATCATTTCGTCTGGTTGTTGTCGTCGACCCTTGTGGTTGTGAGTTGCTCTATGAGGTACACCAAGCATTCCCAATTGTTTTGAATTAGAAGAGACAAAACGAGCACCTCTTTGCCTTGGTTTCCTCCAAATCGCTTCATGTCTACTCTTCACATTAGTTCGAGAGGATGGGTGCTTAAACTTTACAGGCCCACTGCCACCTACATGGCTCACTTGCCTTTGTTTCCAAACCCCAAATTCTTGTTGACTCTTACACTTAGCACACAACCACTTTTGATCCTTTGCTTTACCATACCTTATTGGTTCATATTGAGCCTTTTTATGCATGCAACTAGGTCCGCAATTTTTGGTTGACATCTTACAACATTGTCCATTATTTTTCACTCTCTTAAATTTATGCAAGCCATGATTGTCTTGATCATAATGCATATTGTTTGACATGCCCTCCAATCCAACTTTTGTAGTTGGAGTTGAACTTTCTACAAGTTGTGTGACATGCCCCCATTCCTTCTTTGTTGGTAGGTAACATCCCCCTGTCCAAACTTTGGTTTACTAACTTTCCCTCTTGCTGGAGACTTTGACAAATTGTCATGTAAAGGATCACAACGAGGTAAGCCAAATTTTTTGGCTTTGGATTTTGGTCCATGGTCACCATCCCAACATTGAGAAGTGTTTTTGGTAACCATCATTGCAACATCTCCTGACTTGATGGAATGTGATAAAATATGCTTACACCTAGAATATTGCTTTTGTCTCAGCTTGCCAAGAAATGGGATGACATGTCTTCCTGATAGCTTAACTTGACCATTATTGTCAAGTTGCCCCCTTGTGCTTATCCTTTTCAATGAACTCACAAATGGGTTGCTTAACATATTTTTTTCATTTTTGATTTTTTTATAAGCACGTTTACATATACTTATTCGCAATGGCTTTCGTAAGCAATCTCCTTTTTGCACTTTTACAAGCAATGATATCCACTGGAAAAGATATATTTGGAATCCAAATATGATTTATAAACTCTCATTTTTACATAATGTGTATCTATCAAAATATTGAAACTAAAATATATAAGATTGTGCAATAGAAGGCTTCAAACCTTTGGACTTTGCTACGGTGACATGCACTTTTCGGTCGACCTCATATAGGATCAGGTCGACCTAATCAGTTGTTTCAGTGTACAAACAGTTTTATGGTGCCTACTTTGGAGATTCATATCTTACAATTGGCTAGATGGAAATTGGAGATTAAAGGCTTGTTTTGAAGCTGAAGTGTCCCTCTACACATTAAAGTACTTGGGAGCTCAATAGAAAGTTCAGAAGATCATTTTTGAACCTGACCAAAAGGCTATGCCAAAACTGGGAAACTGCCTGAAAATGGCTAAGCCTGGCAACGTGTTTGTCAAGCCTACTTTGGAGCTCAATTTGACAAGCATGGATGCGAGTCAAGTCCAGGGGCCTTTACCACGTTAAATTACGTATTTTTTATACAAAGGCAAGGCATTGAATGAAAGATTGAATATCTTTAAGGCTTCAAACAAAAGGCTCGAAGTTGCTACGAAGGCTGTTTTTCTGGCAGCTTGCTTGTGCTCGAAGTCTGCCAGAAAAACAGCCTTCGTAGCAACTTCGACCCTTTTGTTTGAAGCCTTAAAGATATCCAATCTTTCATCCAATTCCTTGAATTTGTATAAAAACATACCTAATTTAACGTGGTAGAGGCTCTTGGACTCGAATTGCATTCATGCTTCTCGAATAGAGCTCAAGAATAGGCTTCACAAACACGTTTCCAGACTTAGCCATTTCTAGGCAGTTTCCCAGTTCTGGCATAGCCTTTTGATGAGGTTCAAAAATGGTCTTCTGGACTTCCTATCGAGCTCTCAATCACTTCAATATGTAGAGGGACACTTCAGCTTCAAAACAAGTCATTAGTCTTCAATTTCCATCTAGCCGATTGTATGATATGAATATCCAAAGTAGGCACCATGAACTGTTTTTACACTGAAACAACATATTAGGTCGACCGGATCCTATATGAGGTCGACCGAATTCTATATGAGGTCGACCTAATCCTAACTGAGGTCGACCGGAAAGTGCAAGTCACCGTGACATGCATGTCACCGTAGGCATACCCAAACCTTTTTGTGAAAAACGGATTCGGAATTTATCAATTTAATTAAGAAGGCTTTTACATAGAAAAGAAAAATTCCTCAAGAGGAACATAGATACATAATATGTAAATAGGTACATCCCGCCTAAACACGGAAATTTTTAAAAAAAATCTAATCACACACTTAAAAATCGGGTTGGTTATTTATGGTCCGAACTGCCGTTAAACCTGCCATAAAAATGAAAATTAAAAGAAGAAATAATTCCATAATCACTGCAATTACGGGGAAGCTAATAAAATTTAAGGACATAGGGATTTCTCAAAACAAGGTTATCAAATCCGTTTATAACGTTGTGCCGGTTTGGCAAGTAGAATGATACGACTGGTGGTATAACTAGTTTGTGCCGGTTCATGCCGGTTTAAAAAAATGTGAAAACAATTAATATCCAATGTATTTTAAAAAATGTGAAAACAATTAATATCCAATGTGAAAACTATTAATTTCATAAAATGAGTAATAAATTAGTTTTTTATTAATTAAATTCATTAAAATGATGTTATTTTTCTTAGAATGCGAAAGTTGATCATACCAATCATACTGGTGATGTCACACCGGTTTTATGACTGACACAAGTTGAACCAGGTTGAACCGGATGGCATGCCACCTGCATGACAACCATACTCAAAACGCTTCAATGTATTTTATTTTAAGAGATAAGATGTTTATTAGTTTACAATAATAAGAGGTATAAATTACCGAAAATAAAATAAAATAATAAAAGGTACAAAATACTATTTACCTTTTTCTAGCAAGACAGTCGTATCACTCCAACTCCAAGAAAGAAAAACAAGATAGTTGTTGCTTATTGATCGATCGCGAAAGGGCAAGGAAGGAAACTAGGGTTCGATTTCTCAAGAACTGAACACTCTCTCGGAGGACTGGCCATGGAAACCGACGGCGGCGGCAATAAGCGGAATACGAACTCCGATCACTCCTCCGGAGCACTGGGAATAGAAACTCACGGCCGGAAGACTGCCAATGCAAACTGGCGGGGGCGATAAACGGAAGACTAATCCGGATCTCTCCGCCGGAGGTTTGCAACCAAAGAAGGTGAAGACCGCTCCCTCTCCGGCGTCAGATAGCCCATTGAACCCGCGGCCAAGCATGGTCGACCTTCTGCTAGGATTGGCTTGGCCCGAACTCCCCTCAGGCTCTTCCCCAACTGCAAGCCCTCCTCCTCCTCTTACCGAGTTTCCGCAATTCTCATTGTTGGTTGATCTGGATCTTAGCCCAGATATCAATACCCTGGTCGATAACCTTCTGACCGTCGAATCTGACACGGACAAACTTCTCTATGAGATAGAGAGCAGAAGAATTCTCTTGGAAGTGAAGGGGAAGGAGGCTGCTGCCTTGCTGAAGGAAATCCCGCCAGCGGCTCATCTTGGATTGGAGGGACTTGTGAATGGTATGGGGATGTATAAAACAAGCCTGGAAACTGAGATTGCAGATCTTGAGAAGCAAGCCACATCCCTGGCAACTGAGATGTATTTGGCAACAAACGGGGGTGGAGAAGCAGATACGCTTTTGAGTGATAAAGCTGACCAAGTTCGGCAGCTTATTGGTAGCAAGAAGGCACTTCTTGTATCCGCTCAGAAGAACTATGAGAAGGCATACCATGAGAAGCAAAAGGGAATTGGGCAATCAGCTACACCAGGCCTCCCCTCTTCCTCTGATGGACAGCAGCTGCCACCACCACCGATGAGGCTGGTTGGAATCCGTCCGAGAATGGAGGAGATGGATAAACTCCGTGATGCTCCTGCACAATGGAGCATAAGGCTTCTCGCTATTGAATCGGAGATGAGCTGGCTGGAGAATCAGATTACAACTAGAGAGGAGATCTTGGCCAAGAAGAAAACATACAGTACCAATATAAATAAGGAGATTCAGGAGAAGATTCGGCATGTTGATGGAAGTTCAAGGATAAAGACATTGGAGTTGATAATTGCAAAACTTAAACAGAAGGTTGAGAAGCTTAAAGGAGATAAGAATGTCCAGACTTCAAAGTTGATTCGTATGGCCTGTGCGCTGAAGACTGGAAATAGCTCCATGGATCTCATCCGAGAGCATGGCAAGCTGGCCTTAAATTCCCGTGAAGCAGATGGGTTTCTGAAGAAGATGCAGCAGAGACTTGAAAACTATAAGAGGGGTTATGAAGATTGCATGGCGAAGAAGAATAACGAAGCAAGCCTGAAAACAGTTTAGAGAGAGGTAGGAAACAGGCAGGAGGATGGTTTCCTTTTCTTAGGCTGAAGCTCTGTTATCCTAGAAATAACGTGAGTATAGTTTCTTTGCATTTTCTACTTTCTGCATTTTTGAAGCAATTTGCCAAGGCTGGTTAAAAGGGACTTAGTGTGGAGATATAGTCCCACAAGGGAAGGTGCTTGAGTAGTACCAGAACTGCTAATAGAGGATAACTTTTCAATATGTCACGATGAATGTTTGTCTTGCAAAGTCATTGCTAGATACGTGCTGCTATTATGCAAATGTTTGAGAATGGTAGTTGTAGCTTTAGTTACTCTGTATAGTTGTATGGCAGTTCTGCTGATGTAACTGCTTATGCAGTCTGTTTCTTCGAGGATCTGGCTACAGTTGGCCAAGGATGACCTAATATGAAACAAGGATTACTGGGGAAAAAAAGAAGATTTGGGTATTGACAAGGAGGTCATTTTTGCCTAATATACATTTGATAGTCATGGTATTTTCTCCTGCAATGATGAAAGGTTTGTTCCGCTATTCTACCAAATAAATCTTTTCTATGAATTGGTCTAACTATGCGAATGAGTCAGGAAAATAGAATGCTCTTCTTTTGGTAACCATGTTCTTTCAATATAGAAACTTTCTCTGGTAACTTTGGTGCCACTTCTCTCGACTTTTCTTTCAGAACGGGAGAAGACTGTGCAACTCAACGCCATTGTTTGCCTTTCTACTGGTTAAGAATTTTTAAGTTTTCAATCATGCCACCATGTGTCCTAATTCTTTGTTTCTGTTATACTTGATTATACAATATATCGATAGGTAGCTACCTATGAGACAGCATAACTGAAGAAAAGGTGCTAGGTAAACCTTGCTCCAAAAGTATCTCTGATCTTGCTTTGCATCTGTCTGACAACTTTGAAGTGGGTGAGCAAATAGAAGATAGTTACGCATATGAACCATAACTAGGGAAGAACATTGAATACCCTTTGTCTTCTCCGCATTAAACTTGTTTCTTCCACTGACAAGGTATATATCAGTGAAAGTTTGATAGAAGATATAATGTTTAACCTCTCCCTGCAGCTCATGTACACAGGTTAGTGTTTAGGGGATTGCTTCTAAGGAGAATGGTATGCGGAATTCTTAAGCACCTGTTCAGCTTATGAGTGCGCTTCTCTAAGCTGTGTTTTTCACATCTACACAGCGCGAGAACTTTCTGAATGCAAGGCTAACTGGAGTGTTGAAGCAATTGCAGGTGTTGTGGCACATATTACCTAGATACCTGTCACGCATAGGCTCCGAAAACCTTCACTTTGCCTTTCGTTGATGGGAGCTGTCCTTTAGGGCAATTCTTTGGATTGGGAGATTTTCCATCCTCAATTGTTTCTCTATTGGTGAATTTCACGACATTGTTGTCCTTATTTTATGCCACCAGAAATGCTGGCATAGAACTTATATTTGGATATGGGAGGTTTGCCATCCTCAATTGTTTTTCTATTGGTCGATTTCATGTCATTGTTGTCCTTATTTTTATGCCACCAGAAATGCTGGCATAGAACTTATATTTGGAACTTGAAATTTCATTCAGTCACCAAATTATAGTTCAAGTGCCTCAGTAACAAGCTATTAAATTTTAAGTGGGCGATTCAAACCTAACTCCATGAAAGCTTCATTGGTTCTTCCTCATTTGGTCTGTTAGTTGGTAAGGTACTTGAAGAACCCAGGACTTTTTTATAAAATGGGCATCAAGACTCCAGATAGTGTGCTTTTAGAAGGTCCTCCAGGATGTGGAAAGGTTAGTCTTATTTGTCAACCAAAACAAGAAGTTTTACTGCATGTCGAGTTTTAACAGTGTGAGTTCATTCTATGCCATTTCAGACTCTAGTTACCAAGGCTATTGCTGGTCAACCTGGTGTTCCTTTTTACCAAATGGCTGGATCTGAATTTGTTGAAGTTTTAGCTGGTGTTGGTTCTGCTCGAATCAGAGATATTTTTAAGAGAGCAAGGTGATTACTTTGCCCATTTGACTGATAAGTTCTATGAGAACTTGTTCTTATTTTCTGTTTCGTTCTTTAGATTGTTTGACGTGGAATACCAAGACTCCAATTTCCTCCACTTAGAGTTTCTTGTTTCTACGCTTGTTGATGCTTTGGGAGAACCAAATGCTTTATTGCCTCACAGTCACAGGGATCGATTAAATATCATGTCTGCGTTGTTGGAAGCATGTTACTAGCTTTACTTTATCAATTGCAAAATCTTTATTTTCCATAAAATGTCTGTGATTGTGGTCCATTTCTGCTAGTAATTTTTTCTTGGACCTTTTGCAGGTAAAAAAAACCCTCGGTTATATTCATTGATGAAATTGATGCTTTGGCAACTAGGTAAGAGTGCTTCTTTGACTTATTTGGTTAAGTGGCAGGTTTTATTTTACCTCTGTGGAAATCATACATATGCACTATAATACCATGTTAAGTTCAACTCAGCATATTACCTCCTTGTCGTGTGATGGATTTTTTAGCGCACAGTTTCTGTATTAGCAGTATTGGTATTAGACTATTGATTTCAACAGCCATTTTTGCAAGCAATAGAATCGAATATCATATGGAGATAATTCGAGATGTTGACTATTCTTTCTCATCTAGTGAAGTGTATTTTCTTTTATTATTTTATCAAACTAATATAAGCTACTAAAAGAGGACATTGAGTAGGTAGCATCAAAATGCCCAGGACGGTCTCAAGTCACTCTCTAATCTGGATTTGATAGAAAAGAGTGTGACTTTGTTCTGTTTTTGCTTCATCTGTTCACTGATTCAGGCGTCGAGGGATCTTTAAGGAGTCCAGTGACCATGATGCGTATAGATTTATTATATATTCTTATATGGATTAATTATTATTGGTAGTTGTGTTAGGGAGATAATTATGGTAGTTAGTGGGTTAGTAGAACGTGGGTAGTGGTTCCATAGGAATAGGACTGAGTTAGTTCCATCGTATGAGTGAATAGATCCCTTTTCTTGGCGGGATTAAACCAGTTCTCTCTTTTCTTGGCGAGAGGTTACCAGGGTTTCTTCTACTAGTTTTCTCCTGTCCTTTATTCAATCCAAATCTTAGTTTAAATACATCAACGATGGAAATAACTCAGTCCTATTCCTATGGAACCACTACCCACGTTCTACTAACCCACTAACTACCATAATTATCTCCCTAACACAACTACCAATAATAATTAATCCATATAAGAATATATAATAAATCTATACGCATCATTCCTTCCCCCTTCGAAAGAACCTTGTCCTCAAGGTTCGAGTTAATTAGTGAATTACTCAACCCATACGCAACTCGGATCAACGTAACAGAAGGTTGTTGTTTGCGATACCTCCAACTGCGCTCGACCCCTTCCACACAGCTCCTATCATCGAGAGCTCCAGCTTCCCATGACAGGTCCTGGTTCACTTTATCACTTCGGTCTTCCTTTGCAGAGGGATCTGGAAGTCCTTGAGCAAACCCAGACTTCTTGTCTCTATCCGTATTTGTCACTAGGTATATCAAACTACCATCCAAGCCCCGAGTTTTAGCAGAAGCGAATTCACCAAATGAGGACCCTATATACATTCCTGCTAACCCATCCAATTGCTTCCTCTCATTCACCAACTCCCACTTTGCTTCCATCAAGTACCCTTTACCTTTTCCACTTGTTTTCCCATGCATGGAATGAGTCCACCACTTCCTTTTCATTCCTCCAGGCTCACAATTACAAGGGCTAATTAGTTGGCCCCCAAGACCTGGCGCCCCATCAACATGTCTCAACAATGCCTCCCTCACCTTCCGCTCGCATCTCACAGGAGATTGATCCTCTCTCATGTATCCTCCAGCTCGGGCGACGGTTTCACTTGTCACACAACCAATCAACCCCTCCTCAGCAACTCTACTCGTTGGCTTCTCCGGATCAACCCCATACCACAAAGGCACAAACAGCCGGTCAATCCGCCTATGCTCAAGCCGATATGGTCGCGGCATCCCGTTATGTTGTGGCACGTAGGAACCTGTTCCTCTCAATCCTCCCTCAACTCCAATAATGGTGAATGAGGACGTGGGCTCTAGCCGCACTCGGCCACCGTTCTCCAACTCCATTTTCTTTCTGAATTTCCATGAAACGGCAAATCGGATTGGAATCATTTGTCGTTGTTTTCCATCCTCTAATCGGGCCTCCCAAGGAAACATCACCCCTGCCTCCCGATATGCTATTTTGTTGTTGTTTGCGGCGATCGGCAGGGTAGCTCTTGAAACGATGGATTGGTTTACGACTCCAGTCATCGAGAAGAGATGAGTTTCTTCAACCTGAACAGCAACACCGCTCAACCCTTGGTCCATCGTTTGAGAATGGCTTGAAACCCTTTGGTAGGCGCAATCAATCTGAAACTGCACGTTGGTTCTAGGTGGTGGAGCGATGGTATCGTTGATGCCTATGTCACCGACGACAGGTTCTGGCGAGGAAAGATCCATTACAGGAACTCTGGCTCGCACCGAGAGCACATTGAGAGAGGTAATATCCTCCTCTACGTCGACGGCATCAACTGTGTCTTCTTCCTCAACCTCTTCCGACTCGGCAGCTTCAACTTGCGGAGGTGGTGCGGTGACTCTGTCGTAAGCCTTGATTGCTCTACGGCAAGCTGCCATTGCTATATCCAAGGATGTCATCATCCGATTGATGAGTTCATCTCTTGATGGTTTCTCTAAGCTCATCGTGATCGACCCACGGATCAACCGCTCTGATACCAAATGATACGAGTTGAAATCGTATGAGTGAATAGATCCCTTTTCTTGGCGGGATTAAACCAGTTCTCTCTTTTCTTGGCGAGAGGTTACCAGGGTTTCTTCTACTAGTTTTCTCCTGTCCTTTATTCAATCCAAATCTTAGTTTAAATACATCAACGATGGAACTAACTCAGTCCTATTCCTATGGAACCACTACCCACGTTCTACTAACCCACTAACTACCATAATTATCTCCCTAACACAACTACCAATAATAATTAATCCATATAAGAATATATAATAAATCTATACGCATCAGACCACCTCTATAATGCTGCCACTCAAGAGAGGGAAACTACTCTTAACCTGCTGTTGATAGAGCTTGATGGATTTGACACTGGCAAGGGGGTTATATTCTTGGGCGCTACCATTTTCAATAGTATCGATACCATTCCATCCATTATTTACATCCAAACTTTGTTAATTAAGTATATTAGAACGGAAGCCCGCGCTACGCGGTGGGGCGTGAAATTATTGCAACTTGAATATTGACCAAACGACAAACTGCTAACATATTCTTCGTTCTTGAATTAAAAGTACAACATAATTTAAACATTAATGTGAGGGATGCACATAGAGAAGACAATTGGAACCCAAAAGGCAAGATTGATGGATAGAGATAAATGTAGCATCAGTAGAAGCTGAGAGTCTAAACACCATATGGTACACATCGCAAGGCTTCACGATCAAAAGTGAGTAAAGGGGTAGCTAGTTTAGACTAACAATAGAGCAGTGATTTAAAAGTTTGTGTGTGCTAGATTACGAAGATGCGAATGTGTGGTTCATCATAGTGTGGGCTAGCAATGTATATTTCTTGCCAAAAATTTTCTATCGCATCGATCTCTGAGGCATTGTTTTTGCTTCTGTTGCAACGAGTCAAACTCTTTAGGTGCCAGACAAACAAGGGCAAGGTTTGCTTCATGGTTCGTAATGACTTTTAATTTACGACATCCGAATTCACATTAAGCATGCAATTTGTAGAATAATCTGGTGGAATGTAAAAAAATATATATGAGAAAACAAACTACAGTGTACACAACAATACAAAGTACATAGGTGAAGAATGTCAACCGCAATTAGCTTCATTAGGGAAAATGAAAATCTAGTTTATAGGGATCAAAAGAACATATCGATGCAAAGTGCGTAAAAAAAACTTCATCTTTTTCCATGACCCGTCGGTGCCCTCTCAACAACTGGTGATGTCGTCTTACCCTAGCAGCGCTTGCCATTATAGAAAAGGGAGCTCAACGGACCCTCTCTGAAATGGCTTGATCCGAGTTGGATTTGTGGATTAGAGGAAAGGAGAAAGAAATAGAGGCAACTCACATAGAAAGTGAAAGTGTTGTACAATTTTTGACATTACAGGGTGACTCAAGGATCCATGGGTTCGGATGACCCGCCCATGGATTTGAATCGTAGTAACCAATTGAAAACAACAGAAGAGGGAAATCAATAAGCATCATTAGAGAAAATGAAAAATCTGGATATTATAGGCGACAAAAAAACATACCGATGCCAAAAACAAAAATCCCTTCATTATCACTTTGCAGTTTGCAGAGGGCAACTAATACAAATGTTGAAGTCATTGTAACAGTGGTGCTTCTCATCAAGACATCACGCCGGCCGGCGTGCCACCGGCTGTACCGGGTTCAACCGGTATCGGTCATAAAACCGGCGTGACACCACCGGTATGACCGGCATGATCGATATACGAATCTCTAAGTAAAATGACCTTATTTTAGAGAATTTAATTGATAAAAATTATTTTATTATTTATTTTATGAGTATAAAAGTTAAATATTGATGTTATTTGTTGGATTCAAGTATAAATGTTTATATATTGACGTTAAATGTCATGTTTAAATATGAGTATTTATAATTTTATTTGTAATATTGACCGGCATGAACCGGCACAAACCGGTATGTGCCACCGGTTGAACCATTCCACTTGCTAAACCGGCACACTGGCATAAACCGGTTTGACAACCTTGCATCAAATACATGATCCTAGTTTCTAGCAAGTACTATTGATTAAAAAGTCAAACGTAATTGCACTTTTGATCCTTAAATTTGTGGAAAATAATAAAATAATTACCCGTTGGATGTGACTCTAAGTAACAGTACCGTTTTTACTTGTTCTTTTAATAAAAACCGACCCAAAACCCGTAAACACTGAATTTAATTCTCTTTGACCGGTTTGATAAATTGGGGAGAGTGTTTGACAAAATCCACACTCAATCCAATCCGTTAATTACAAAAGTGGATAAAATTCGTTCTCGGCCCAAAAATCGTCAACACAGGTTCAACTCGCTTTGAACGGGTTGAATTAAATTGAAAAGGCGGGTAAAATGCGTTCTCGATCCAATTCAATTATTACAAAAGTGGATAAAATTCATGCATGCCCCCAAAAGTGCAAAGGGTAAAACTCGTACTCGACCCCAAAATCATCAACATTGGATTCAACTTGATATACCATGGCGAGTTTTTTAAAAAATCCACACCCAACCCAATTCATTAATTACAAAAGTGGGTAAAATTCGTTCCAGGGTCCCGGCCTACAATTCGGCAACACCGATACCGGGATGGAAAAAGCGGGTAAAATGTGTTCTCTACCCAATTCAATTATTACAAAAGTGGATAAAATTCATTCACGCCTAGTGTCAAGGGCAAAACTCATACTCGACCTAAAATTTGTCAACACTAGATTCAATTCGATAAAGCGGGGCGACTTTTTAACAAAATCCACAACCGATCCAATTCGTTAATTACAAAAGCGGGTAAAATTCATTCCGGGACTAAAATTCGGCAACACCGATACCGAGTCAAATTAGATTGAACACATGAATTTTGTTTCAATTGTCATAAGAGGAAATATTTAAAATATTTGATTAATGACCCAATTTGTTAATTACATAAGTGGGCAAAGTTCGTTCCCGACCTAAAATTTGGCAACACCGATACCGGGTTGTAAAAAGGCGGGTATATTGCATTCTCGACTCAATCAATGATTACACAAGTGGATAAAATTCATTCATAACCGTAAAATTCATTCCCGACCTAAAATTTGGCAACACCGATACTGGGTTGGAAAAGGCGGGTATAATGCGTTCTCGACCCAATTCAATGATTACAAAAGTGGATAAATTTTTGGGTTCAATTGTCGTAAGAGGAAATAGTTAAAATATCTGATCAATGACTCAATCCACTAATTACAAAAGCGGGTATAATGCGTTCTTGACTCAACTCAATGATTACAAAAGTGTATAAAATTCATTCATAACCCTAGAAGTCCCATTTAATGATTACAAAAGTGGATAAAATTCATTTATAACCCTAAAGGTCCCTAAACTCGTTGTTGTCGCAAAATTGCACACCCAACCCAATTGTTAACACCAAGTTCAACTCGCTGAACAAAATAAAAGGAAATAAAATTAAAACTCGTTACCGACCCAAAAAAATACCAGGTTCAAACCGGGTTGAATTAGTTTGAATCCATTTGAAAAGAAAATAAATTAGTATAGTGAAAATTACAATAACCTAAAAAGTCCCTAAACTTATGATTAATTACAAATGAGATGAGCAAAATTACAAAAGTGCTACTCCTTGGAAGTGACTCTAAGGAATAGTAAAAAGTGCTACTCCTTGGATTTGACTCTAAAAAATAGTAAAAAAGTTGCTTGTTATTTAATATAGTAAAATAGTAATAAAGTAATAATCACTAATGTATGCTCGAAAGTTACCATTTTATGTATTAATGAAAGATGAAATAAAAGCAAATGCTAATGTTCTAGTTGGATGGGAAAATGAATGGAAGGATATTATGTGCACCATAGCTTGGCTCGACAATAGCTTGCTAATGAACTCATTGTCGTGTACTTGGCTTGTTCCTTTTTGCATATGATCACTGAACTCGATTGCATGCATTTCCCCGTTTATCTATATCTAGTTTAATGCACTGTCCCACATAGTCGTGGGGCATGGCCATGTTTACAAAGTAAGCCAGTGATTTATGATTCAGAAGTTAATCTTTATAAAATTATTGGTTAATTGTTGATAGAATAATGACGGTCTCTTGGTGCTTGTGGAAGAATCGAACGACGGCCTGCTTCAAGGGAACCAACGCAGCGCTGCCAGCGCCTACCCTCGAGAACTCGATCGTGGCACGTACCAAATTGTGGAACGCAGCGTGGCGGGCCCTTGATCCTATTTCCAACAACAGAAACCAGGTGCCGCAACGGGTCTTGGCTAATATCGGATGGTCCCCGCCGGCTGAAGGATGGATGAAACTTAACATTGATGGTGCCTCTAATGGCAACCCGGGCTTGGCAGGCACCGAGGGTGTTCTCCGCGACTCCACGGGTCATTGGGTAGCAGGTTTTGTTGCCAATATTGGCTCGACGACTGCACTTCTGGCTGAACTATGAGCACTTGCTTATGGTTTGGATTTAGCTTGGAAGACAGGATGTCGGGCTCTCCGAGTAGAGACAGATTCGATAATGGTCACCCAACTTATCAGTACCAAACATGACCCAATCCAGCTGCACGCGACGCTTCTCTCAGGTATCCGTAGGAAATTGAGCTAGGAGTGGTTGGTGAGCATTACTCATATATATCGAGAAGGGAATAGAGTCGCGGACTCGGACTGGCTCTCGAAGCACAGTCTCGTTTATCCCTACGGTGTATATGAGCTTGCAAACCCACCATCAGACTTAGCTCAGATTCTTACAGATGATATGATGGCTGTTACTTTCGAGCGACAAGTTGTTGCTTCCTCCCCCCTTTTGACCCCTCTGTTTAATTCCTCCCCTGTAACCCTGGGAGCGGTTACGGTGAGTACTTTTTTATAGTAATCACCGTGGTTACTAAGGGTAAATTGGGTATGGAAAAATAAATTATATTAATTAATTAAATTAATAAATTATATTTTAGGTAGTTACAAAAATCTATTAATTACAATTCTTTCTCTTTCTCTCACTTCCATAATCTCCAGCCAGATCTCCTTTCCATATTTTTCTCAAACTTTCTGCAAAAGAAAAAACATGAAATCACTACCAATCCATTAAAAAAATACTACCATTATACAAAACATCAATACCATTCAAGAAATAAAAACACTACCATTTCAGAAAACATCAATACCATTGCAGATTTAATCACTACCAATGCGACAAAATCAATACCAATGCGACAAAAATAATACCAATGCGACAAAAACAATACCAATACGACCATAACACTACCACTACGGGAAAAAATGACTACCATTTAAAAAAAATCACTACGGAAAAAAAGACTACCATTGAGGTAAGCCTTCACCTCCGGTATACCAGAACCGGCGGCAACCAGAGCTATGAATGTCGTGATGATGGTTGCAAACAGAGACAACAGGGAGAGGACGTCGGCGGAGGTTGATTGAGGTAAGCCAACAGCAATCAAAGCCCAAAAAAAATTGGGTGGAAACGAAAAGAGGGAGAGAATCCGGAGTTCAATAGAAAAATGGGGGAGAAGAAAGAGGGACCTGGATGCGGGAGATCCATGAAATGGAAACTAGCTAGCTCTGGATCCTAATTAATCACCATGAGGAGAGCTCTTCTTCCGCTGATATCCATTAACGCTACGCCAACAGCTGACGAGGCGGAGGTTGATCGAGAGCGGGAGCGACAGGGAGAGGAGGGAGGAGACGACGGCTAGGTATTAGGGTTTGAATAAAATATATACAGTAATCAGGTGTGGTATGTTTTTCATTTCCTAAATTACCCTTAGCTAATCTTAATCATTAATTTAAAATTATAATAAAATAAAGGTAATGAATGGTATAGATGTTGGTAGCCACCGTGGTTACTCAAAATTGAGTAACCACCCTAACCCATTCCCTGTAACCCTCTGCGTTCTTGGCCTTTGGCATCCTCATAATGAAAAAAAATAATGACATGATATATCATAAAAGACATACTACACTAATTTATGATCAAATTTATCAAATCATTCACATTGTATCATAAAAAAAAACTATAATAAATATGTTATATTCATGTTAGTAATTAGTAATTACTAATTATGGTGGTAATTGACGGTGGACCACATGAAATTGATAAGGAAGTTGAGAAATGAAGAAGAGAAAGCATAAATAAAATTAGTAATTCAGATTGGATGATCTTAATTGATGTTAAATTATTATTATTATTATTATTAATTTGTTAAAATAGTGACTAGCGGACCAATCAAATCGTGATGAATTTTAAAACTTTTTGATCCACTTTGAGTCATCTAAACAGACAGGTTGAACCATTATTGTATTAATTTGACAATTACACGAGTCCAACTGCGGAATAAGTTTAATTATTTACACTAGTGGTGAATAAGTTTTTTTTTTAAGAAAGTGAATAAGTTTATTTGGATAAAGGAGGGGAGAACTTTTGTTAAATTTGAACTTGCAATGAACAAATAAATAAATAATAGCTAATAAAAGGATTAATTATTATGGTTTAGAAATAACGGACATCAAATAACACGGGACCGGTCAAAAGGAATTAATTTTTAGCACTTCACCACCAAATTTCGGACGTCCCAACTGAAACCTCTTTCCCAATTTCGCCCCCCTTCTCCCTTCCTCTCCCGCGATTAGGGTTTCCAAATTCCCGCCCCTCAGCAATCTTCCAATTCCTCAATTTGGTCCTTCAATTCCTTCGATCCATCCATGGAAAACAACGAAGCCAACAACAACGCGAGCATCGTCTCGGTGGATAGCATAAACCAGATGGCCAGCTGGGTCAGCACTACTGTGATCTCCGCCTTCTTCTCCTCTCTGGAGCGCTTCTCCTGCGTCAATATCCAAACCGCCGATCACGACGACGATGACGATGAAGCCGACGTCCGCCCCCTCAGAATGTTGTCAACTGCCTCCCGCGACACCACCGACGAGCTCCCGGTTTGATTGATTGATTTCCCCCACTTGTCGGCCGGACCTGACCTCGGTACTGCTTAGCATTTATCCTCTTCTCAAAATCCCTTTCAATTGGTTGTTCCCTGTTCTCTCGCCCACCCTGTAATTCGGATGATCTTACTTTTGATGTTCAATCGGAAAGCCAACTGTTGTGATTGCTTGATTTTCGTTATTTTTTTTTTTTTTGTATTTCATATGAATCCAGTTCCTGACATTTGGGCGCTTGAGGTTCTTTTTGTGTGTAAAATGTTGTTTACATTTTTAAGAGGGTATGGCCAAACTGCATTAAAAATTGTTGTTGTTCATTGTATCTAGTTAATGGTTTAGCTATCCTTGCCAAGTATATCGCATATGTTTCTGCATTTTCTGAACATGGCTGTCAATGCATTGATGTTCCATCATCGTGCTTGGGAAGCTGCGTCATCTATGTTGCTACTGTCCAATCTATTTATACAGTGGCGGAGGCAGAATCTGAAAGTACCTGTGTCCTCTTTCCATAATATAAAATAAATAAATAAATAAATATTTAAGAAATATAATTAAAACTAATAATATCTAAATCATTTATTCATATATATCAAAGAAATACTAGACTAATACAATCATTATTTTCATAAGCAATCACAACGCATTTTCAAATTCTCAATGTATGCGACTAAGTAATCACTAGCAAATTGGTCACAATTCGACTTTGAAACTTGTTTTTAATATAGCTAAAAGCTGAAATTGTTCTTTCTACACTTGCAATTGTAATTAGTAGAGTCAAAACTAACTTTAGAAGGCAAAGAGATCGACCTTTAGGTACCGTGAATTTTGTTTATAGTGTGATACATTGATTTATGTTAACTTTTAAACTTGAAATAACTTGTAGTGTAGTGATAACACACTTTTATATTATCTAAAGTTGATGAGTGCAATCCTTAATTGATTCATATATATGGGGTATTTTATTTTACCCAAAAATTACCTGTGTCCCGGGACACATCCCATACCCCCTAGCTCCGCCTATGTATTTATATGGTTGAATCATGACGAGTTATCAAAACAAATCATAGCTTAGTAGCACCCGCGATGTGAACAGTTGATAACTCTCTACCATTTAGTGCTGGCTAGGCTGTCAGTGATAATCTGTTATGGATATGCTGACATGTAGATTTCAGTCCATATTGGGGGGATGTGGTCAAAATGTTGAGTATTGCCTGAAGGAACTTTGTCTTCTTCTTTTTCTCAAGTGTGAAAAGGACCAGAGCATCTGTGACAGTGAGTTGGATTTGTAATGGAGCATTAATGTCTTACAACTTGTATCTTGGTTTGAATTCATGTGGTTCTATAAAGTTTCTCCTCTTTCTGCCTCGAGTCTTGGAATCATTCTGACCCTGACTGCTCCAGGCAGAATAGCTTTGATGCTGGGAAAAGTGTGGGTTTGCTGGTTTAGGGTTTGAAGGGATAAGGACGGATGGTATTCTGAAATTTGATTACTTTCTGAACTCATGATGTCTTGACTTATTTTCTAATGTTGTTATATGCCAAGCTTCTGTGAAAGATAACTACTACTATCTCGACTCATCTTTGATCTGCTTGTCCTAGATTTGTTTTAGCAATGAATTTAACTGGAAATGGCATATGTTTCTGATAAAAAGGAAAGTAGGAAGGTAGTAGCACAAAACTGATTTTGGTGTTGCTTGTATTTCATTGCTGTTTTAACATCTGATTACAACTTTTCCTTATCTCTGACTCTCTTGAGTCTTTGTTGGGTGCTATTACCTTTTATAGATTGAAAAAAAGACATACACATGGCCTGAGTAAGTAGGATTTGCGTAGTCCTGGTGTATGCGTAGTTTTCCCATTGTCCCTCACTTATCTTCATGCTCCTTCCAACATAGCAGCATCACAATGCAACGACGAATGACGTAAAACCTTCCCTTTGCCTCCTTCACCACCCCACCACTTCCACCACCATCCCTTGGCTGACTTTTGTTTTGCCTTTGTGAGGAAGAAGCTAACTTTCTCCTTTGGCTAGCTGATAATTCCATGAATGTCCTGACTCTTTGTAACTCTGCTTATTCTTGTTTGTTTTGCTGGTGCAACTCCTGGTTCTCCTCCACCTCGGTTCTCCACTTCTCCTTTTATAAGATGTTCCTTCCCTTTGGAAGTAGTGGTGTTGTTTTTGGAATCTTTTGTAGGAGTTACTGGTTAGTGTTGGGTTTTATATCAATTTCATTTCTGTTCAAGTCAGTACATAAACCTGCTGAGCATTTTATTGTTTTATGGAGGCAGTCAAAAAAGTGGAGTGGCCTTTTCTGTGCTTCTGTAACATCCAGGTTTCCAGGTTAACCTTGCTTTCCTTTACTATCCAAACTGGTGTATTCTGGGTCCAGGGTTTGTTGGATACGCGACACATGGATCACATTGGCTTGGTGGACACATTAATTAGTGGGTTTTATTATTGTTATTTATACCTCCAGTTCTCGTTTCCATCCTTCTTTTTCAGATTTTGCCAGTTATTTTGTGTGTGTGAGAGAGAAGGGTAGTTGAAGGAAATTTTTACCTCATCTGAGATTTTGGGGAAATGCTCCTCCTGTTTTTAACCCTTTATCAGCTGGCATTTGACCTGGAGCAGTTATTATGGTGCTCTGTTTCCCATTATTAATGAATGCTGCTCCTACAACCTAACAGTAGCAATGTTTTGCTCCTTTCCATGGGGTTGGTTTGCATTTGTGTGTCTTTTGTTCATGTTTACTCCTTAGTTTGTTGTCTCTCTTCCTTGTTTCACAGCCTTTCTTCTTCGTCTTCTCTAAACTGCTATATTTTACTTGGCAATGGGATATGGGATGAAGAAGGGGTAATAGCTCCGGTGATGAGTGTTCATTCGTTCGTCGTTCCAATTTCTGAATTCAAGATGTTCCTTTTCCAGTATAGTATGGATTGGCTTCTGGGGAACTGTAGAGAACAAGGTGGAACCTACTCTGAGGAGCTTATTCGTGTTTCCCTCTTTTGTGTGCTTGCTTGCTTGCTGTCTTCTGGTGTGGGTGTTTGAATCAGATAAGGAGGGTTATGGTTTCACCTATTACTGTTCCAGCTAACTTGAGGAGTCTTTTTCATTTTCCCACATTGATTGTCAGCTCATTAGATGTTCTGTGGGTTTGTTTGGAAATGAAAATGGGGCTTTGAACTTTCAAGGTGTGAAGCTCACAATTTTCCCCCCTTGGTTGTTGATCTCAATATTCGAATCTGTGGTGTGGTACTATCTTCTGCTTGTAATCCACACAATGAAAGATATGTTATTTCAAGGAGTTATATACCATTGAGGCGCCCAAATTAATATCCATTCCCCTTAAATGATATGTTATTTTAAAGACAATGTAGAGGTGATTAATAATTCGAAATGTCGAAATTTATCAACTCGTGATAGGAAGAGAGTTTCAGAAGAACCACAACACCCAAAGTGGTGGCTAGAGTTCGACTGCTGGTCGTCTTTCTGTTGCAATAATTGACAAACAAGTGTTTACTAAGATCTCTATGGCAACATTTGGGAATAAGCCATTGAAAGCACTCGTTCAATGGAAAGTTCCAACTTTCTTTCTATGAAAGTGGCGTGAGAGATCATAACAACGGACAAAATATCATTTGAAAAATCTTTGATGCTGCAATGCATATTGTTCATTTTGTGACCTATTTGTAACTTATATGTATGTACCAAAACAATGAGCACAAAGGGTTTGGCAACCTAACCCTACATGCCAATCATGTTGCCATATGGGAGAAGGAGAACTTATGTGGACTATGGTGTCGGTGTGGATTGGGTCGTGTCAGACAACTTCTCGAATGACATGCGATAATATTATGGGATTCTATGATTCTTATAGCACAAAAAGAGACTGTTTCTCCTAACTATTTCCAAATTAGAGAGGTGGAGTGGTGCAAAAGTGCAATTAGTTGGCTTTATTACCTAGACGCCTATATAAACCATCCTATTGAGGTTAAATGTCGTCGAATGGTAGTTGGAATATTCTTATGGAGGGCCATTTCGAGCTCAATCTCAACAAGAAAATTCGGGCCGCCATGTTCCAATCCATACGTGTGATCCATATTATCAGCGAGGCCCAACTACTTTAAAAGTCCAACTCAATACTTCGTGTGGGCTTTTATTTCAATTCGAGCCTAAAACCCTATTAGACGAATCCTCCTAAAACCTCCGGAAAGTAAGTGAGCAGAGTCTCTTCTCCCCCATTTCTCCGGCAACAAACAATGGCGAAGCTTCTTTCCGAAGCTACCAAACGGGTCTTCACTCCGGAAACACTACGGTCCGCCGCCAAGCAATCGGAGGGATGCCTCGTGGTTTCCGTCCGCCTCCGCCGGGCAATCAAAAGGTACCTCAAGGAGCTGGAGGAGCCGCACATGAAGAAGAAAGTGCTGAGGCTGTCTCAGTCCTTCAGCGAAATCAAGGACGCCAACTCCATGCTTTCCGCCAATACTTCCAAGGAGCTGGTCGAGGATCCCTTCAAGTCGATGGAGAGCTCCCAGCGGTGGAAAATCAGGAGCGCTTATGGAGACATCGGGCTCACGTACTCGGATAGCGAGACCGTCGCTTATGTAGCTTCTCGAATGCCCGCCGTTTTCTCTGCCTGCTTCCGCGTTCTCAACGAGGTAGGCTTTGGATAATCATGATCCCATCTTCTTGGTTTCTCATGAAATGTTCTGTATTGTGTTTTTTGGGGAGGGTGGAGTTGAAGAAGTTCATTGATTGATTGGAATTGAAATGTTTACTTAGGTAGGGAAAAGGTTGCCGGATTTTTCTCCGGCGAAGGTGTTGGATTTCGGTGCTGGGACTGGTTCAGCATTCTGGTGAGTGGAAATCCTCCATTGATGTTGTTAGAAAATGATTGAGTTTGTATGTCGTTTCTTAATGCTAGGTTTCTGTTGTTGTTAAAGGGCTATGAAAGAAGTGTGGCCAAAATCAATCAAGAAGGTAAATTTAGTGGAACCATCTCAGTCAATGCAGCGTGCAGGCAGAAGCCTTATCCAAGGTTTATTAACCAGTGGAACTGCTGTTCATTACTTGTAGTTTTACATTGGATAGGACGTTGAAGCTAAAGATGTTCTGATGAACTTATAGCACTTGCCTATGTCTATTTTCCGTGATGTAGGATTGAAGGATTTACCACTTATTCATGGCTATGATAGCATTCAGGGTCTAAGTAAAAATCTCAAGAAGACTGAGAGAGAGCATGACCTCGTGATTGCTGTAAGTCGTACTTGCTTTTTTAGTGTCCTTCTGCTTGTATACACACCCTGTAGCTGTGGAGTTGGTATAAGTTCCGTGGTGCTAATCTTGACTCTTCTTCTTGTATGAAGTCATATGTGCTTGGTGAGATACCATCGATGAAAGATCGAATTACTATAGTGCGCCAGCTTTGGGATCTTACCCGAGATGTCTTGGTATGTGCAGATTCCTTCATAACCTTACCATTTAGTGGGGTTGTTTGGTTAATTTTTTTGTGTATTTATCCTTCGTGTTGAATTTGTTTTAGTCTGAAAACTGAAATTTGAACCAGGTTTTAATTGAACCAGGCACACCACATGGATCTAACATCATATCTCAGATGCGATCTCACATACTGTGGATGGAGAAAAGGGTAAGTGGATATCATTGCTTGCTTGTATGAGATCACATTGATTTGATCGTGGCATGGATGGCTGATTTTGTGCAAACATACAGAAACTCCGTAAATCTCAAAAGAAAAGCAGTGAGACGTGCAGCGACTTGGTTCCCGTTAACAATGGTGTTTTTATTGTTGCCCCTGTGAGTACCAGTCCTTTATTTATCTTCAAAGTTAAGCTAAACAGTGAAGCAGTTGAGTGTGAGTGTTCTTTGCTGATCGGATGTATTGTGAATGCAGTGTTCCCATGAAGGGCGGTGCCCTTTGGAGAAATCTGGAAAATACTGTCATTTTGTTCAGCGCTTGCAAAGAACAACCTCACAAAGGGTATACAAGGTTCGATCTCATTCACTAAATCAGAAGAAACATAAGTTTTGCATCCAATCCTTGTTTTAGATATTTGTTCAAGCATTTCAGAGTATAGCATGGATTCAGTTCAACACCCTTTTTGTTGCCAGTGGATGAAATGACTGATGTAATGCAATATCCCATCTCATGGCTACTGTCTTCTACAAAACCATATTTGCAGAGCTCAAAGGGTGGTGGACCATTGCGCGGTTTCGAGGATGAGAAGTTTTCTTTTGTTGCTTTCAGACGAGGACAAAGACCTCGGTTAGTATTATTCTGTAGCATTTCTCTGCCATTCTGCAAAGTATCAATTCTGTCTCTTATGCACGAATTCAGAACCAGAATTGTTGCTACGGTATCAAAAAACGGGTTTGTTGCATTTTTGAGAATGCAGGGACACTTGGCCGCTGTCTGGTGTGAAATTAGAAAGTCTGAAAGAACAACGTGCAAACAGAAGTTCAGCAGAAGTTCTGGAAATTGATTACGGTTGGTAATTATATATGCTTCTGGACAACTCTTTTAGCTGCCTAACCTTTCCTTATGAACTCTTATCCTTCCTATGACATTCACAGATGAATATGCGGAGCAGCACGAATACGAAGAAGAGGATGACGACGACGTTGATGATGGGAAACACAAAGGAGCAGACCGCATCAATTATGACTCTGATTTCAGTGAAACTGACAACATTGAAGATGATAATGAAGAAGGACAGGAACAAGAAGAGATGGTAAAAACAGACGCAGCAGAAACAAGTGAGGCAGACCTCGGGGGCGGTTGGGGAAGGATCATTTTCTCGCCGGTTCGAAGAGGCAAGCATGTTACTCTGGATGTCTGCAGATCAGTGAACGAGGAGAGCACAGAGGGCTCATATGAACGCATAGTCGTGACCAAGAGCAAGAACCCGACATTGCATCACCAAGCCCGCAAATCTCTGTGGGGTGATCTCTGGCCCTTCTGAGAAATAGCTCCATTTAATTAATTTTTCTGTATCTAAAGTTCTGTAACAGAATATAAATGTACCAAAATTTCCAGATGGCCTTTGCCTTCTGCTGCATCCCAGAATGCAACTAAGAACAACTTTTGTATTGACATTCTATTGATCAATAAATGAAGAATGGATCATCATAGGGATCCAATATTTTCTTCCTTGGCAGAATGAGAAACATCCTTTGTTTGCTTTAGTGCTGAAATCTTTCTAATATGAGCTGTTCTTGATCGTACGCGCGTCTTTAATTTACTAAACGAAAACACGAAACATTATTCTAGTATTTCATTACTTTTCTGAAAGCCAAAATCTTTTCTATTTGTTCCAATCACATTTTGACAATTTCACATCCCATGAAAATTCATGTAGCCGGGGACCCTTTATTTGATGAACAGATTAGACAGAATGATGAAGGCATTAGGGTGGACCAAAGCTTCCACTAGCAGCAGTAAGGGGACACCAAAAGATATCTGGTTTTGAGAAAACAAAACCAATTGGAAGTGACGACTCCAGGACAGTGGTGTCGTGACCATAAGAAGCTGAATCATGTGACAGCAACGAAAAACCTTTTCCCCCAAAGGACAGCATCCCAAATCTACTAGATCCTGCTGCAAGTGGGCATAGTACTATAACCAACCAAACTGTCTCTGCTTTAATACATTTCTCTCTTCACAAAAGTACGATATCATGTGCTTCTGACTTTTTTTCTCTGCGGTGGGTGGTTAATGCATTAATCATGGATATCAATGCCCCTAATATCAAATATACAGTACATGGAAAACCAGCTATTAGTGCCTTTCTTAATAAACATGTTAAAGATGTACCTTCTATCTTCTACGAGGAGATCGATAAGCTGTCCGATTGTTGTCATAAACGGAGTGGAAATGATGAACTATAACAATCAAGTGTCAATTTGCAATCTATCTATATAGCAATCTTCTACCATCTCACATGATAATCTAAGACGATGTAAATTTATCGACTCTAACAACCACATGCATCCTCAATTAAAATCAGCCAAACACATCAGTGTTAATACTCAGAACCCAAACCCATGTGGCTTGGGTGCCTACCAGGAGATAAAAGAGTTCTTGTATCTATTTTAACCTTTTTAAGATTGATTGGAACTATGATAAGAAAGAAAGAATTAATGATTTGAGCCTTTGTGGGGACTCCCATCATTAATAGAAAAGTAAAGAAACACACTGGGGGCAGAGGCAAATGGTGGTGTACCAAGTTGCAGGCTCAGTTTGTCCCCAGTCCCCACCTCTACCAATTCGATCGTGGCTGCAACTAGGAAGAAGCCATGGGGGAATTCAGAAAGTCGAACCGTTAAAAAACCTCATTGGGACCGGATTACAGCTCTACGGAGCAGTCATTTCAGAGAATCACAACTGACCATCCAAAAGCTTTTTCCAGTACAGACTGACATAAGAAGCAATGAAAGAATCATATGAACTTGTTTCTTTTATACACACTTTCCATACACAAAAAAACAGCGAACCCAGTGCACTTGGGTTTCTGCAGATACACTGAGATACTACAAATTTGCAGCCTTTTTTTTGAATAGGCTGGATCCTCAGCAGCTTTCTTTTTCTTGACTATTTGTATAAACTGCCCTATAAAAGAAACAGGACAGTCTCATCTATATAGGTACAGGAATAAATCAAAACTTAGTTAAATACTGTTGCCTTCTTCACAAGTTTTCTTCAGTCAGACACGCAGAGGCAACCCGTAATTGAGGTAAGTTCGAATCCTCCCATCCCAGCCTGCAGTAACAATCACCAGGCCCCACATGTGAGAATTGAACATGCTCTGGCATGCATTCTTCAGAAACTTGAACTCCGGTTTCAACTTCGGTGTTGAGGAAACCGACATGGGTCTCGAGTCAGGAAGCTTCTCCTCGGGCCAGGTGGCAGATCCCCTGATCAACGAATCTAACAAAAACCCACGAGTCAGCGAGAAACAATCTGGTGAAGATATCATGCTTTTGCTGCTGCTAGTTTCATGCACGACATCCCCAATGGGCGGTGGTGGAGATAGGATCGTGCCTGGCACAGTTTCAACCCCACGCCAAGGTATTGCCACTGAAGCATTTTGGGAGGTGAAGCTCTCGTAGGAATGGATATGCCTAGCTCGAGAAGATGACTTTCTTTCTTGTTTATCATAGTTCCAAATGTAGACGTTGGAATCATCACTTGTTGAGACGACGTGCTTTCCATCTGAGGTAAAAGTGGCGTGCATCTGGTTTGCTGCAGCCCGAAGACTGGACACTGGAGAACAAAGGAATGCTAATTTGTCAGAACGGAACGTTCTTGTCTCAGTTTGATTAAATGGATAGGAGGTCAATTTTATCTGGTACTACCTGGTGCCAACTGGATGAACTAATGGAGTCTATGAAGTATGAACAAAGGAAGATATGGATGAAAGAAGAAAAGAATACTAACCCCTGAATTTGCATATGACATCTGAGCTGCAGAGAACTCGCACAAGAGAATCGGCAGATGAGACGATTACTTTGCTCGGGTCACTTGGAGAAAACTGGAAAGAAAAACGTTTCATAGTTACTACACCATGTCAAAATTGAACTCCAAGAGTATACAGAGAGGAACGGTATAGTAAACAGTTAACCACCTCAAAGCCAGTTATTCTCTTGCCAGGCAACTTGGTTTTCCCTTGCAAACATATTTCAGTATCCTGTCGCATCTTATTATCTGCATTCATCAAAGACAATAACACAGTCCGTAAGCTTGAAGAATGAATAATTCTTTTCAACCATATGCCAAATGATTTAGTTGCTCCTGGTGGTGAGGAATAAATCAGCACCTCTGATCTCATAGAAGAGGCAGTTTCCACTCATTGTGCCCACAATAGCTCCCTGAAAATTCCAAGTAAAGAAAGATCCTTCAGAATTCAAGCTTTCCAAATGCCAAGGAATTTCTTCTATCTCCAAAGCTGAGGGTTAAGAGATTCTGCCAACCTCTCCACAAGGACGATAAGCTATTGCAGTGACTATCTCTTTGACATCCGTGTAATCAATGACCTGGCAGCCAGACACTTCCCAGATTCGGACTTTCCCATCTATTGAACCGGTAATGAAATGGTCTTCGTCCACAGGATTGAAATGGACACAAGTCACTGCAATCAACCTCAAAAACAGGTTGAGAAAAGTGACCAAAGAACTGAACTAACCAATAATGGTAATGAAACTAATCAATCAAATAAACATATATACCATAGTTATTATGATGAAAAACTCTCAGGCATTTGTCACATCCCACTTGCCACATGCGAACGGTATTATCATCCGATGAAGACAGAAGCAACTGCAGCAAGCAAAACATTATTCACAAGTCAAAATTTGACAATTGAAAACAATTGTCTTGAAATGCAACTTATGGAAGATACTTACCCTCTGCTTAGACCAGGAGAGATCCAAAACCTCACCACTGTGACCCCGGAACTCATGAAGAGGCTTCTCAAGAACCCTAAACACCTTTGGGGGCAAAACAACACAAGTCGAGTCTGAAGAAATATGTCTCTTTGTTTTCCCATCGTTCTTTGCAATTGCATCTACATCCAAAGAAGTTATTTTGGATTTATGGTCTATTGCGAAGCAAAGACATGAAGGATCACTGCCCGGGACATTAAGTCGGTTAAGCCTATCATCCTCAATAACCTTCCATACCCTCACAATACCATCCTCTCCACCACTAGCTAAGTACTGCCCATCTGGACTGAACTTCATGGTCAGTATAGACCCCTTATGAGCAAGAAATTCCTGCCCAGAATACAGTGAAGACAACTCCTTGGTCTTCTTCTTGTTGGAATGAACCTTAACTCTTTGCGACTTATTCCCTCCAGACAATTCATTAGCATTGACATTGTCGGGAATGCGAGCGGGTGATGATCCGAACTTCCTCAGCCAACCCCTCTTAGGTTTCTTCCTAGTTTCGCTCATGCTTCTCGCCCCATCTGCATATCGACGAAGAAACCGCTGAATCAAAGGTGACCATCCTATACTTCTCTGGAACTCTTCAAAGCTAAGAGAACGATCTGATCCCACTTCCCGCAATCTGCTAAAGATTCCAGCTTGATCCAGTTCTTCAAAGACAAACTCCCTCCCGTCGTCCAAGTTCCTGATTTTGTACATTAAATCCATCTCCGAAGCACCATCTTCAAACGATTCCCGAGCTTCAGCTGACTGGCAAGAAGTAGACCGCGACAAAGTGTCGGACCAGAAGTCGCGTTCATCAGAACCAGAAGTTCTCAACACCGCGCCGCTATCATCCATCACTCTATCAATCCCCAATTCGATCTTCTCGATGCTCTCCTTCTTCAATTCCTCCACCACCGAACCCCGATCGGAACCCAGATTCATCCATCTCAGAAACCTCCGCCGCCGATCCTCGACGCTCTCCGGATTCTTAGCCCAAATCTCGAACTGGGAACTGGGGGAAACACCGTTGCCGTCGGAATCGGAAGCCCAATCGGAGACGGAAGATACCTCTTCTCTAGTATCGAAGAATCCCTCCTCCGCACTGCAACTCTCCATCTACAGTGGGGGGGAATTCCGACTCCCCGAAGAAACCCTCAGATCAAAGTGATGTTATTCCGCCGTTGACATGCGAAGTCGGGAGCTTTGAGAGTCGAGAAACGGAACCCAGATCTTGGATTGCGAAGATAAGACGCGAACAAATAGCGAGAATAAGATTAAAAAAGAACACCCAACAATAAAAAGGGAATTCAGTTACCCATCGAGGGGACGGCGACCAACCAACCAAACAGGCGAAGCGACGACAAGTAAAGAAACAACAAGAGAAGAATAAAAGAGGGAGGAGGGAAATGAAGACCTGGGAAACAGTGGAATCTTATTAATCTTTGTTTAGGTCAAAATTGCAGAAATCAACGCGCGGCCAATTCCATTGATACACCCAAAGAAAGGAAGAAGTTTCCACTCGGGAGGCAAAGTATATCTATCAAATGCCGGGGGTTTACTACTACTGAATTTTGTTTTGCTTATTTACTATTAAGATCTTTTCCTTCCTTCCCGTGGCTCAAGCTTGATATTATATAAAAATTAATAATGCAATAAGAACGATTAATCTTAGATGAGGAATTTTACAATGCTATATAATATTGGTGCTATAGCTTTTTGTCTTTATGGTACAACTTGAAGTTGTATCTTTAATGTTATG